GTGGTTTCCCGTCTCTTGTGGTCTGGTGCTCAGATCCAGCAGCATATGGACTGTGGAAGATATATATATATATATATATATATATATATATATCGTAAATATATAGTGAATATTGGATGTAAACATCCAGCACTACTTGGGATTGCAAACCAGAATAGAAACACAATGTTTGAACTGTAATGTTGACACTCACTAGGTAGTTTGTTCTGTCACATCCAGTAGCATAAGAACGCTTGACCTTTGACCTCTGTGTGTAACCTTTGAGCTTCACAGATACTCACATGCTCTCTCATGGGCTGCTGATGTCAATCAAGACATCTTAAGAGCAAACTGTGATCTGTCACAAGTCATCTTTCCTGTGCTGAGAGCTTAAATTGACATTTTTGACATCTAGATCCAACTATTTAAAGGATAGTTCCAGATTCAGTACAAGTTAAGCATATAAACAGCATTTGTAGCATGATGTAGACTAGCACATTTAATCATATATAATATACACTCTCTTTGAAAAGTTTGGGGTCGGTAAGATTTGTTATGTTTTTGTTTATCTTCTGCTCCCCAAGGCTGCATTTATTTGTTCAAAATTACAGTAAAAACAGCTAAATTCAATTTAAAATAACTGTTTTCTGTTATTTATATTTTCCGAATATACTTTAAAAAGAACTGAAAGCAAAAGAATGCCATTTATTTGAAATAAAAACTTTTGCAATAATATAAATGTCTTAACTGGCACTTTTGATTAATTTCAATGCGCCCTTGCTGAATAAAAGCACTATTTTGTTACTGAGCACATACTTTTGAGCAGCATTATGTATCAGAGCGTGCTTGCAGTGTCCGTAATAGCGGCAGCAACCGCATATACAGCAGAGAGAGAAAAGAAAGAGAAAGCCAGGGAAAATCAGACACGGAAACACCGCAGAGAGACTAAGAGTAATAGAACATGAAGGGGAAGAAGGAACGCAAACAGAGAGAAAGAGAGAGGGAAAGAGGTAGACCACCGATCTTCTAGTCTGGGCCTCTAATGTCTCCACAAGCCCTGATGCTTTACACCAGTATAAACGTACTCTGTTAGCACAGCATGTGAGGTTTCTCCACCTCCTAAACACTGAAGGAAAAATCAGCAGCTAAAGAGAGTTTTTTCATCTTAAAAAACATGTTTTTATCTCCAGCTGTACATCAGTGGATGGGTGGGGAAGGCAATAATTACCAGTCTTGGTTTCATTATTTGTGTTATAATGGAAGTCTAAAATTCCACCTTTCTTCCAAACGTCTACACCATTATGTAAATGATCTTCAAAGCTGGGGTCACTGCTCAGTCTTCCACAGACCACCTTTGTCTCTGTTTCTGGACCGCATGAAACCCGACAGGAACTACAAGCTTTCCTTCCTTCTTTTTTACATTCCTTGTCACTTTGGGTTTTTACCTCTCTTTCCTCTCCACAGACCATCTCTGTCAAAGAAAGAAGCAGTTCACTGACGACAATCCAAACCTATAATCTTCTAGAAAACCTATCATTCCAACTAAAGCTATATCCTCAGTCCTTTGCAATATGTTGCCATTCATAAGTGCAATCTGTCGCCGGATATTGCGGATCTGACTTCCTGTTGACCCTGGTCATGTGAGCAGGAAGTTAGTTGTGCTGATGAAAATGCCAGATTGGTTTGGCTCCTTTCGGGTCTTCATAGACTTTATGCTGCTGCTATTGTTCCTCTTGGTCATGATGGTTTGATTGAACAACGTCCACTAAACACAGTATAATTACAGGATCCGCTCTGGTCAGTCGTGGCACAGATTCACTCATGCAGTGAGTTTACATAAAATGCTATTGTTTATTTTTGTGAACATAAAGGACACTTTGATGCTTTGGCTTGGATTGAAGTTAAGCGGATGTAATTTCAACTGCAGTCATTTTTCAGGTGGAAGTGGGATGAGATCTACCTCCTGTTTGCTCTATGGTTTATTTTTTTGTGTTTTGCAATTGAAACGTCTCCATCTCTGTGAGTTCACTGACGACAATCCAAACCTATAATCTTCTAGAAAACCTATCATTCCAACTAAAACTATATCCTCAGTCCTTTGCAATATGTTGCCATTCATAAGTGCAATCTGTCGCCGGATATTGCGGATCTGACTTCCTGTTGACCCTGGTCATGTGAGCAGGAAGTTAGTTGTGCTGATGAAAATGCCAGATTGGTTTGGCTCCTTTCGGGTCTTCATAGACTTTATGCTGCTGCTATTGTTCCTCTTGGTCATGATGGTTTGATTGAACAACGTCCACTAAACACAGTATAATTACAGGATCCGCTCTGGTCAGTCGTGGCACAGATTCACTCATGCAGTGAGTTTACATACAATGCTATTGTTTATTTTTGTGAACATAAAGGACACTTTGATGCTTTGGCTTGGATTGAAGTTAAGCGGATGTAATTTCAACTGCAGTCATTTTTCAGGTGGAAGTGGGATGAGATCTACCTCCTGTTTGCTCTATGGTTTATTTTTTTGTGTTTTGCAATTGAAACGTCTCCATCTCTGTACATATATCTGATATTACAAAACTGTGTGCATCACTCTTGACCAGCGGATCATATAAAACATGGATATATGTGTTGTTAGGTGATTGATACGGTGCTTAATAAATAGCACGAGTAGTTGTTAGTTGATGCTAAAGTGGTGTTGCCTAATTTTTGGGGCATAATTTATGATAATATGCACAAATAACATAATATACACCAATATTGGCTAAAAAAGAAAAGTCAATGTTAATTTGAACTATTGTGATGCTATACGGCACTGAATAAAGTACAAGTTGGACTGTATTTATAATTTCTGATTTCTCCTGATTTTCTGCAAAGGGTAGATTTTTTTGTCAAAAGAGGTATTATTGTTTATAAAGTATAACATTGCAATTAGAACCATGCAATTGTGAAATATTATTACAATTCAAAATAAGTGTTTTCTATTTGAATATATTTTCAAATAGAATTTATTCCTGTGATGGCAAAACTGAATTTCCAGCAGCAGCTACTGCTCCAGTCTTTAGTATTACGTGATCCTTCAGAAATTGGTGCTCAAGAAGCATTTCTTATTATTATCAATGTTGTAAACTGTTTTTGTTGCTTAATAGTTTTTGTGGAAACAGTGATGCATTTTTTTCTGGATGTTTTGATAAAAAAAATACAGCACAGTACTTTAACAGAACAGCCTTTTCTGATCAAGCATCACTGCTTAATAAATATATAAATTTCTTTAAAAAATAATAATAATATCTTACAGAGCCCAAACATTTAAAAAGGTGTAGTGTAACAATCAGCCCCACTTCCTGTGTGCTCTCTTGAAATGCTACAATATTTTGACATGTATTTTACTATTTAAATAGTCATTCACTGACTTTAAGTAATCCCCTGATCATTTCCCCTCATTAATGGTCTGCAGAGCATCTGTAGAGCATATCCGTACAGACTTCAGCACATCTGAACACACAAGTGAAGTGTTGTACAGTCCAGTAAGCGCTGGTGGTTTCCCGTCTCTTGTGGTCTGGTGCTCAGATCCAGCAGCATATGGACTGTGGAAGAAATCTGGCCTATCAACTTTGTGATAAAGATCTCTGGAAGCTTCAGCTAGTAAACAGCACCATAAAAGTGGCTTTTGGGGTGGAGCGCAAGAGAGAAACTTGAAGAGGTGCCCATCACCAATGAAGCCGCAACTTCTACAACAGCACTCCCACTCCTGTCTCACTCACTATTTACTGTTCACTGCCTTCACTTTCATTCCCGTTGCACACCAATTTTCAGTCCTAACACTACTGATTTAGAGGTGGGAATCCTTTCTGTAATATAGCGTGTGGAAAAGTGCCAGTCATTATGAGGAAGAAATCCATGATGCCTGAACTAGGCGCAACAGCACTTACATAATGCCATGAAGAAAGCTCAAGGCCTCTGTCGGTGGTATTGAGCTCTTCGCAGTCCTGCCAGGACATTGAGCGGTTTCAGACTGACAGAAATATACTGGGAGCTTCATGAAGCCAGACTCAATCACGCCCCCTAGTGCTTGCCTGTAAAACACAAACACTTTTAGATTGCAGTTCTAATCAGGTGAAAAATGTGCATGGGATTTATTCATTTGCATATGGACTGGAGTAGCAACATACACTGAACTAACAAAAAGCTACAAGAACCGCTCACATTTTCTTCAGAAAATGTTCAAATCTAGCTGGATTTGTTTTGACACCGCTTTGAATTTAATTCTTTATCTAATTTGATTTTGTGGACTTAAAAGTAGATTTTTTTTCTGTTCATCTGCTCAGTTTTAATTCTCTCCCTCAAAATCTAATTCTGGAATGTCCCGCAAATTAAACACATAGCGAAAAATATTGGGCAGAAATTATAGTATTTGTGGAGTTTTATAGAAATCTCAGGAAGATTTGATATTTGAGGCCATCTTGCCATAATTAGAGGCTGTTATTGCATCTGCCCGCAAATAATACAGAGAACACTTTATTAATTCCTGTCTTTTTCCACTCATCTTTTCTCATTTAAAGAAGCAATTCAACCCTTTCATCATGATACACATGGGTTGCATGCAGCATGATGGTGATTGAGATTTTGTAGCGTTAAATTAGATTAAAAAATGAGAGGAAACTTCTACCTTTGGTCAAACACCAAACTTTTTCTAGACGACTTCAAATGGAGATTTGAGTTGTTATGGATTGTTTAGGTCCACAGCATACATGAGTCCAAATAACATGGACACAAAAATCCCCATTATCATATTTCTTTCCATTATGCATTATTTATATTCTAATAAGCTTAACTGTAAGGATGTACAATATAAAATAAGAAAGTTGACATTGACATTTGATTATCTTGTATTCCTGACAACATTACACTGCTTTTATATAAGTATTTATTTCTTGTCTCAAAGTTACTGATATAAAATTACTAAAATTCCAAATTCAACATTTTGGTGCTATAAGCTTTCATCCTTACCAAAAAATTCTCATCTATTAGGCCCCTTAGAGATCATTGCTGTTTCAGTCTCTGTCAATATCCAGAAGTCATGCCTTGTGCATCTGTACTGAAAGACAAAAAATACATTAATATTTAAGACTTAGCATGTAAAACTCTTCATGTGAAAGTCACTATCCAGTGGATAGTCATCTAACAGCTTGTCATGCTCAGCGAAGACCAAGTCTCAGCCTGTCAAATTTGCATTATTTCTACAAATTTATGGAGAAGAATCATGCTCTTTTTTTGTAACTTATTCCATTTGAATCAACAGTCCTGGCCTGATGTACTTCCCTTACATCTGGGTTATCTCTGTTCGATGGTACAAGCAATTTCCTTGTTCAGTACTTCCACTGGAATCAATGACATGTTTGTTACTTCACATAATGCCTTATTCAAGCTGGATAAATGAAAATGAAAAGCAATACTGAGCTGGTGGCTTATTTATTATTATTTTTTTTTTACTGTTTTGCCTTAAATCTTATTGAGTGTTCACAAATTCAAGAAACACTATAGACTTGGCAATGCATATACCCATGTGATATTTCAGTTTTTCTTTTTTAATAAATCTGCAAAAATGTCAACAATTCTGTGTTTTTCTGTCAATATGGGGTGCTGTGTGTACATTAATGAGGAAAAAAAATGAACTTAAATGATTTTAGCAAATGGCTGCAATATAACAAAGAGTGAAAAATTTAAGGGGGTCTGAATACTTTCCGTACCCACTGTATATATATTCAACAAGGATGCATTAAATTGATTAAAAGTGACAGAAAAGACATTTATACACTTACTAAAGATTTCTACAAATGTATCAAGGTTTCAATATGAAGCAGCAGAACTATTTTCAACATTAATGATAACAAAAATGATTATTGAGCAGCAAATCAGCATAGAATGATTTCTGAAGGATCATGTGACACTGAAGACTGGGGTAATGATGCTAAAAATTCACACTCTAAAAAATGCTGGGTTGTTTCGACCCAACTTTGGGTCAAATATGGACTAACCCAGCTGTTGGGTTAAATTTTTTAATTAAAATTTTAACCCAAAAGTTGGGTTAGTCCATATTTGACCCAAATTTGGGTTGAAACAACCCAGCATTTTTTAGAGTGCAGCTTTGCCATCACACATATATTATATAAATAATATAGAAAACAGTTATTTTGAATTGCAATAATATTTCACAATATTACTGTTTTTACTGTATTTTTGATCAAATAAATACAGTCTTGGTGAGTCTTGATGACCCAAAACCCAAATTTACATATATTTACTTAAAGTTCATTTGGAATGTTTTTTATTCAAAACTAATCCTCTTTTCCACTATTAGCACAATAAAAATATTCAGTTGTGAACTATTGCACCAGTCCTATCCTCTTATGTGCAAATTACAATGACATCTCCTGTCATCACAGAATGCACAGCGGATGCTCTTGATTAAAAGCATATTAGTTTTTTCAGTCGTTTTCAGTTTCCTGTGAATTAAGTTCAGACTAAAATATGTCAAATAAATGTGTCACATTCAACACATACATACATACATATTTATAAGTACATATTCAGAAAGCATGACAGAAAGTTCAAAGTCAATTATGAACTTTTCAGCAGCAAGTCAATGGAATATGAATCGAATGGTTCTGTAAGAAATCCACACAAACATATTTTCAGGAATTCTTCCTGAATTAGAAGAAATTTCAGTGGAAAACTCTTGAATCTCCATCTTTAAAGATGTTGTGCATGAGGATGAGGGGGAGTGAGAGTTACAGGAACACAGACGTGTTGAGGTTTCAGGTCACCCATACAGAAATAGAGTTGTTTATTTCAGTCGGCAGCTCCGGATTTCTGGTTTGCACGTGTAAATTACATGTCGCCAACATTAAATATTAAACCTAATCAGTGCTTAATTATTGATGCCATTGCTTTTTATACAGGAGTGCCATTGGTACTTGAGACATCCAGCAAAGAGGCTTTCTGCATTACTGTATTCTTTGAGGTTAAGGTCTCTCTCACGATTCCCACTCACTTCTCTTTGGTTTTCTTGATTGATGAACACAGGAAGTCTGTAAAAGAGAGAGAAGGAATGGAGAACTAGATCAGGTTGGGCAGTAACGACTGCTCAGAGGAGCTCACAGGACGACTAAGTGCCTGAGTAAACCACAACTTAGTGTTTGATGAGCATGTGTGTGTTTGCAGAGAGTTCGCTCTGGACCTGAGCATCTGTAACGATCGCACAGGAGTGGTTGGTGATGGAAAAGATGGTTACCCACAATGCTCTGCAGTGGCTCAGGTGGAGATCTCTACACTGTGTCCCTGCCTGGATCAAGACCATGCTTGATGTTAATCAATAAACTCAAACATTAGCGAGGCAGAAAGTACATTTTTTTCAATGTACTTTTCTAAACAACTTGAATTACAGTTTTTGCATTGTAGACCTTAAAATGGGATCAAACAAATCCCAGACTTACATTAAAGGAGGGACCAGAGACATATCTAAAGACCAGAGTGAGTTTGCAATGCATTCAGTGAGAGAAAACATCCACTACAGCCGATTAATCATTACTCACATCTAAGGGATTGCTAGAAATATACACAAAGTGACTGATTGGGTGGAAAATAGTGCAATAGTCAATACAAACAGGCTTCAATGACAGGAAATGGTTGTTTAAAAACTAATAGGAAGTTACTTTGATCAGTCAGATGTAATCAAACGTGGTATCAATCAGGAATATGTCCAAATACAAAAGTAAAATTCACTGTGAACATTTTACACTAACATTTAAAGACACTGAAAAGTCTTCATGATAACTTGAAAGTCAAAACAAAACAGGCAACTACTATCTTAATAATTATGCTAAGTAACACTACTTTTTGTCAATTTGTTCATTCACTAAGTTATGTTTTATTAACAAATTTAGTGAGGAGCGTGCGCAGATAATTAACACGGCCAGTTCATCATCAGTAATTACACCATCTATCCAATCAGCACAAGAGAGAACCTCTATAAATAATCAAAGCAGCCTTACCGCCATTATCTCTAGTCTTTCAGGATCCCTCCACCACCCCGACTCCTGACCTTCAGCACGTTCCTACCCCAGCACGGGGAGGAACACTCGGGGGGGAGCGCTCTGGGTCCGGGCTTAGACCCGAGCTCGGACCCCTCTCCCCGGACGGGGGGAGTACCCCGCGCTCTAGAGTAATTACCGAGCTCTGAGCCCTCTCCCCGGACAGCACGCCAAATACGCATAACCTTTACTCTGTTCATTATATGTAAGTGTGAACTTGTGAAAGGCAAAATGCCACATTCAGTCGATAAATCTGCAACTGCAGATTTCTTGTTCTGCTAATTTTAGTAACATTTAGCAACAATACATTTATCGTTTTGGCATATATATATATATATATAGCTTTATATGACAGTTAATATGTGAAATGAACTCTACTATCTAAGGATTGTAGACCTTATAGGGAAGTCGTGGCCTAATGGTTAGAGAGTTGGACTTGTAACCCAAAGGTTGCGAGTTTGAATCTCAAGTCCGGCAGGGATTGTAGGTGGGGGGGAGTGAATGTACTCTCTTCCACCTTCATTACCACGACTGAGGTGCCCTTGAGCAAGGCACTGAACTGCACCCAACTGCTCCCCGGGTGCTGCAGCATAAATGGCTGCCCACTGCTCCGGGTGTGTGTGCACACTTAGGATGGGATAAATGCAGAGCACTAATTCCTAGTATGGGTAACCATACTTGGCCACATGTCACGTCACTTTCACTTTTCACTTTCACACCTAAAAACACTTGACACGCAAACCTCAAGAATGGTGAAAATCAACAAATGTAAAAAGATGTACGGTCAAATGTAATGGTCTGACATTAATTCTCTTAGCCAGCGTTGCAATATTTGCCAATACCTCACAACATATTCTGATACAATTATGATTTGATTAGATTCAGGGGCCTGTGATTGATACATCAATATTACAATATTATGGGCCTATTTTACACAACCACTTACATTTTTATTAACTCACAAATGCAACCAAAATTGAGATATATTTTCTAATATAGAAAAATAAACCAATGAAAATGCAATGACAAGTGTCAAGGAAATTTATCGTTTTGGCATATATATATATATATATATAGCTTTATATGACAGTTAATATGTGAAATGAACTCTACTATCTAAGGATTGTAGACCTTATAGGGAAGTCGTGGCCTAATGGTTAGAGAGTTGGACTTGTAACCCAAAGGTTGCGAGTTTGAATCTCAAGTGGTGGGGGGGAGTGAATGTACTCTCTTCCACCTTCAATACCAGGACTGAG